GGTGACAGTGACAGGGATCCACAGCCCGGTGTGCCCGAGGTGACAGTGACAGGGATCCACAGCCCGGTGTACCCGAGGTGACAGTTACAGGGATCCACAGGAGGAAAGGGCTGGGGTGACAATCCTTCTCATGAGTGCCCAGCTCATGGCCCCTTCTCATGAGTGCCCGCTGCTGCCAAATCTGTATTTTASAAGATTTTAGTAAAATAGATTTGCAGATATTCCAATTGGACATTTGAATCTTTGTTATTTTTTCTGTCCCCAAACCCCTGGAAGGTTTGGGCAGAGGCACCCAGTGATGCAGGGAATCTGTGGCATAACAGGCACCCGCTGGAGGGCAAAACACAACACAAAACCAGATTTTTCTGTTCTKTTCCCTGCAGGTCAGTGCTGACTGTGGCCTGTGAACAGACTGAAGTCCTGCTCTTTGACCCAATATCTTCAAAGCACATCAAGACTCTCTCTGAGGCTCACGAAGACTGTGTAAATAACATCAGGTAGGCCAGGAGGGATGTTTTGACACAACTCAGYCTATGCTTAGGGTGTTTGGTTTAGATCATGTGCCACTTTCTTGGGTTGGAGGTGGAAACAGCAAGAGCAGGGTCTCAATCCATCACTATTTTTGTTGGGCAATATTTTTCCTTTTAAATTCAAGKTTTTTTAGCTGTTCTGGTTTTGGGAGTAGATTTTGAGGAATGATTTTAAGATGTCTTCTAACAATTCAGATTCTCAAAGAAAAAAACCCCATTCCCAAACCCCAAAATAGTGACCAGCTATACAACAACAAAAAACCCCAACCAAGAGCTAAACCCAAACAAAAAGCCCCAAGAAAACKGTAGAATATTCTGAGTGTTTTCATTCAAAAAGAGCTAAATATGAYGTGGTGTGCCACATTCATCAGATAAATAGATGTTTTTTGCTAGTTGTCCTTCACTGGTTGTCCTTTGTACAAAAGACCAAAYTTTAAAATCAGCAGGATACCCTGTCAGGAAAGCTGGATTAAAATGTGTGTCTTTCTGACACAGAGGAACTGAACTCTGTTCTGCACACAGTTACTACAGCATTGCTGGGGTCTTGTTCAGTTAATGAGCAGGATTCCAGTCACTGTAGCACTAAACACCAAAAATGGTTACCATTTACCACAGTTTGGGATTTTTCCCGTTTTAGTTAGTCACGGTTTGTTTCTCAGAGTTGTTGCTGCTTTTCATGGTGCAGCTATAGGCTTGAAGAATTTTTAGTGGGTGTTTTATGGAGGGATGTCTTATTCCTTTTACCTCAGGTGGGGTTTTTTTTCATTGAGTGCCTTCATCTAATGAATTCCAAACAGAAACTAGCATTCTTTGTCCTTCTGAAAGTAATGGCATGCCTGAATTCCAGGGTTACTCAGCTTTGATCTGCACAGTTGCAAACTCAGTGATTTTATCTGCTGGTTTTCTCAGTGAACCAGATAACTTGTGTGTTCTCAAACAAGTGTCCATCTTGTCACTCRGTGTTTTTGGAAAGCCTTACTTTTGCTTCAGTAAACTCCAGACTGCATTCATTCAGTTTTTATTTCCCAGCTGAGTGTTTTCCAAAGGGGGAACAGATTCAGTTCCTGTGGCTGTTCTGTCTGAGCACRTGTTCCAATGGTGGTCTGGTTCTTTTGTGCAATTCATTAACACACAAACCCCCTTAAAAAAACCCAAACCAAATCAAAGTTTTGCTTGTTTGCTGCTGGAGAGATACTGATGGTTCTGCTTTTAGTGGAATTCTGTYGGCACATATTCTGCTGTAATTTTTGAGGGGTTTTGTGTGCAGCTGCTCTGTTATCTCTGTGTTAGCTGTGTTCTTTTTTAAGAGCATTTGCCCTGATGGTCCTGTCCCAGGTTTCTGGATAACAGACTGTTTGCCACGTGCTCCGATGACACGACGATAGCACTCTGGGACTTGAGAAAGCTGAACACCAAAGTATGCACGCTGCACGGCCACACCAGCTGGGTCAAAAACATCGAGTACGACACCAACACGAGGCTGCTGGTCACCTCGGGGTTTGATGGGAATGTCATCATCTGGGACACCAACAGGTACGTGGCTGTGCCTCCTTGAGGGGCTGGAATGTGTTCTGAAACACTGCAATACTTTATAGCCCTTACCAGGAGCTTGCATCACCTCTCTGGTAATAGTAAGTGGCTACAAAAGAGCTTTTTTTGCCAAAATGTAGTTCTTCCTTCTAAAGAAGTTTCTGTCTTTATTGTAGGAATGTAGGGATATGTGACTTCTCCCCTTTAATTAAAAGGGATAAAAGGGGATAAAGGATAAAGTAGGATAAAAACAGTGCTGAAAAGAAAGGTTTTGGGSTGAATAGGGATGCTGGGCACATCCTGGACACTGATGGATGTGATCAGGGCCTCGAATTGGAGCTGTCTGCAGCCACCTCGTGTGCTTGTCTTGCTGTCCAGGTGCACAGAGGATGGATGTCCCCACAAGAAGTTCTTTCACACCCGTTTCCTGATGAGAATGAGACTGACACCAGACTGTTCCAAAATGCTCATCTCCACCTCCTCTGGTTACCTTCTGATTTTGCACGATCTCGACCTRAACAAGTCTTTGGAGGTTGGCAGCTACCCGATTTTGAGAGCCAGGAGGACCACATCGAGCTCAGGTGAGTGCTGGTGAGGCAGTGTGTGGCAGCCCCTGTGGAGGGAGGTTTTGGGGGATGCTCTTGGCCCCCCTGTGCTGGCTGTGCCTGGGGGCTCACCTGTCTGGTGCTGTTTTTTTCCAGACATAACCTCGTCAGGCTCCTCYGGCCCTCGAGCTGTGGGTTCACCCTGTCACCAGAATGACTCGGGGCCGCTGTCTGAGAAAACCTTGTCACGGCCCTCCCAGCGAGAAGGTAGGAAAAAAATCACTAAAAAAAATAAATTAAAAGAAATCCTGGCCTTTAACTTACAAACGAGGCCAGATAGTGAAAAGCTGTGTTTTTGTCCCATGGTTTTGAAAGAATGGTGTTGCTGAGACTTCTGTTAAACCACGGAAATCTCATTGCACACCAAAGCCTGGGGATTGAATCAGGTTTTATTTCTGAGAAATCTGGTAAAAGCAGTAAGAGCTTTATGTTTTATCAATATGTTGTTGTTGGACAGATGCTCCCTTTTGCTTGTGTTTTTTCTTCAACAAAGTTTATGTGRATGATGTTTAAGGGGAAAAAAGGATACACTTCCACAGAATCACCGTGACCTTGGCAAATGGGTGGATACTTTGTGCATCCCTTGAAATTTCAAATTAATGTAACATTAGGTTTTAGCTACTCATGCTTAAGCATTCTGAGGAGAGGAGGCTTACCTGGATGCCAGGGAGTTAATTTATCTGGGGATGACATAAAAAAGGGAGAAAAGCAGCAAGCTGAGCAAATGTTGGCATCAGGTATGTTGACATCATATAAGTTTGGGAATAAGCCATTCTTAGAAAAACCCACTCTTTAGATTTTGTTGTAATGCTGATGMAGAACATCAGTGTGCAAWGTTAATTCTGATGTAGTTGTTAGTRTGGGGTGGTTCAGTGCAGGTCTGCAGCATTCAAATTGCACAAAAAGGAGCTGTTTGAAATGAGGACTGAGCCCACTGGTGTTGGCTGCAGATGTTTCTGCAATGCCTTCGAGTTTCCCTGTCCTGATGGTGTGGTCTGTCCTGGTGGCCACGTGCAGCTGCCACAGTGTCACCCCATTTCAGCAGCAGGACTGGTGAGAAAGGTGAAGGTCAGTGTATGGATTTCACTCACAGTAAATTGCTCTTGCAGGGGGATCGCCCAGGAACAGCCTGGAGGTGTTAACACCAGARGTTCCTGGAGAAAGAGATCGTGGGAATTGCATCACCTCGCTGCAGCTGCACCCCAAGGGGTGGGCTACGCTGCTCCGGTGCTCCAGCAACACAGATGACCAGGAGGTAACACATTGCCTTGTGTTCTTTTTTAAAATATATATAGACAGATTATATATATATATTTTAGTCATCTTCCAGGTGGAGCCTGCTTCAAGCCTTGTGCTTGATGTAGGAAGTTTTAAGATCAGCTACGGTTCAGCTGCAAGCTGCAGGTTCTGCCTCTAATTTGACCAACAGGAAACAATTGTACTTGAGAAATTAAACAATTGTACTTGAGAAATTAACAGTTCAGTGACTTTGATTGCTGATACAAATTTAGGTTGGTTTGGTTTTGTTTGGGCTGGGAATTTTTTTTGTGTGTGTCTATGTTATTTGTTTGGGTTTTATTTTTTTTTTGGTTGAAGAAAGCCACTYTTTGTAATGGCATCCTCTTACAGAAGTTTAGAGGACTGAGTGGAAGCTTAGAAGACATAAATTTTAATGCTGGTTTTGTAACTATCAAACCACTATTCAACACAGAATTTTTCTAAAATGCAAGATGTTGTATTGATGATTGACTGAGTTATAATTTCCCTTAGGCCTAGGGTGTGCCTTGGTCCCTTTTATAAATATTCAYTGGTATTGTTCTTTCTGTGGTTATTTCAGTAGGATGCATGAAATAGTGCTAAGAATGCTTATCTTGTGGCTGAAATGGAATCAACACAATATAAACTTTGTTATTGCTCTTTTTTTGTGTTTGTTCTGAGATGAAATAATGAGATGACAAAGAGGGATCTTAATGTGTCTCACAAATAATGAACTTGCTGTAGAGCTGTTTGTAATCTTCCCTCAAAAATCAGTTTTCTGAAATAGAATCAACACAATATAAACTATGTCATTGCTCTTTTTTTGAGTTTGTTCTGAGATGAAATAATGAGATGACAAAGAGGGATCTTAATGTGTCTCACAAATAATGAACTTGCTGTAGAGCTGTTCATAACCTTCCCTCAAAAATCAGTTTTCCCCTCATTTCAAGATTCCATTCCTTTTGAAGGAAAAGGCATAAGATGATCTTCTGTAAGCTACAGTCAGCTGAGTTTGACTTCATAGATTTAATTGAAATATTTGCTAAATTAGAGCAGGTGCCTGCCCAAAGGATTAGGCTTTGCTCTGTGCAGATGAGYCCTAGATTGATAAGATTATATCTATCATTTAATTACAGTAGGAGCTTTGACTGGGCAGCTGATTTTTGTGGATAGTTAGAGGGARGGAGTTGCTCTGGTGCTAGTTGGAGAGCAATTCACCAGCAGCATGGTCACATCAGTCCCTGCTGTGCCATTATCTGTTCATATGAACTGAACTGTTCTGTGCCTGTTGAGCTGCAGGGGTTGGGAATGTACATTTGCAGTGCTGACTTCTCTTTCAGTGTCCCTTTCTCTGCCTCTCCTTTTAGTGGACTTGTGTCTATGAATTCCAGGAAGGCGCCCCGGTGCGCCCCGTGTCCCCRCGCTGCTCGCTGCGCCTCACGCACTGCATCGAGGAGGCCAACGTGGGCCGGGGYTACATCAAGGAGCTGTGCTTCAGCCCCGACGGCCGCATGATCTCATCCCCGCACGGTTTYGGCATCCGTTTGCTGGGTTTTGACGCTCACTGCAGCGAGCTGGTGGACTGCCTGCCGCGGGAAGCCAGCCCCCTGCGGGAAATCCGCTCCCTCTACTCACACAACGACGTGGTGCTGACCACCAAGTTCTCCCCCACGCACTGTCAGATCGCCTCGGGGTGCCTTAGCGGACGCGTCTCCCTCTACCAGCCAAAGTTCTAGGCACGGCAGTGGGACCTGCGGATGGATGGATGGATGTTTTGTGGGCATTCCTTCAGCGGAGAGGAAGTGTGCTCTCTCCAGAATTTCTGAGTCCAGAGGAGGTTTCGCAGTTGCCGTGATCTGGGGATGTGACGGTGGAAGGATTTTTTTCCAGGCCAGCACCACGCGCCGTGTCCAGCCCTGCCAGCAGACCTGTGCTCCTGCTGATCCTGTGCCATTGGGCTGCTGTCCTGCTGTGTTTGTACCCTGATACTTGATGATTTCCTTCAGCACAACTCAAAAATGGGCTGTTTGGAACAAGGCAGAGGGGCAGGGTGCCTCCTGTCCCAGAGGAGCTGGACTGCCTCACCTCTGCTTCCTCTTCTGCCACCGMAGCAACTCTGTGGTAATTAGTAGATAATGAGCTGCTTGTCCAACATAAGCAACACGGTTAGTGACTCTCACCCCCCCCCCAAAAAAAAAAGGAAAAGAAAAAGGAATTTTGCTTTCATTTTTATGTTAATGTGATGATTGTCATTGGCTAGGAAAATGAGTCGCAGTGTGGCTCAGGGTGGCAGGGACCACAGGARGTCACCCAGGCCCACACCCTGCACTAGCTTTAGGAAGAACCCTGCCCCAGAGGATTTCTGGGGGTCTCTGCAGTCTGTGGCTCCTCCACTGCAAGGTTTCTGTTGCAGGGGGCTCTCCACATCATTCCACATCTGAAACTCGGTGGCTTTCTGCTGACGTTCAGGTGTTTCCCACCTGGCTGTTTTTACACCTACACCTCGCCTGCAGTCTTGCTGTGGGAGAAATTCATCTGGATGTGTCCCTGGTATCAACAGATGAGCCTTTCTTSACATGTGCTGTCTGTTTGGGAGGGGATGAAAAGCAAACCCATCGCCAGTGAAATGTAGCTGGATCTAACCAGGTGTGAAACACTGTGAAGTTGAGATCTCATTGTTGTCTGGAACATCCTCCTGTGGGGCAGCAGAGGGGCAGGTACTGATCACTTCCATGATCTGGGACAGGGAACGGCTGGAGCTGGGCCAGGGCAGGCTCAGGCTGGAGATCAGGAAAGGTTCTTGTGTCCCCAGAGGGTGCTGGCACTGCCCAGGCTCCCCAGGGAATGGTCCCAGCCCCGAGGCTGCCAGAGCTGCAGGAGCATTGGGACAGGGATGCACAGGGGGGATTGTTGGGGTGGCTGTATAGGACCAGGGATTGGATTCAGGGATCCTGATGGGTCGCTTCCAATTCAGCATATTCTGTGATTCAGTGGTCACATCCAAAATACGAATGCCAGGTTTCAGCATTGGAGTTAATAAAGCTAACCTTGTAAATGCGTAGGTATTTCAGTCTTGTACATCCATATCAGTTTGTAACGTTCTCGTCACTTACATGTTCCAARATGGGGTTTTTTTCTTTAGTGTTTCACTAAAGTTTTGCTGTCACACACTYGGTTCAGCAGGCAACTTTACCTGAAAAGACTGTCACCTGCTGGTGTTCAGGTTCRCTCTCTCTGGCTCCATGGAGCACACTTGTTCAAAGCTGACTCTTACAAAGCCTTTTGCAAAATGTATTTGGGGATAAAGACATTTATGGACGTGAGAGAGTTGGGAAGATAAGCCTGAGGATCCTCTTGTAGCTTTGTATTTATGTGGGTAGTATACCCTGGTGTTAATGCAGAAATCATTGAAACTTAAGGCTCCTCTGCCTTATGAGAGAAAAAAAAATGCCAAGTTTCCTCTTTTGGAGAATTTCTTTGGTGATACAAAACCTTCAGTTTTGTGTGTTTGATAATCTGAGGACAAACATCCCTTCTGCTGGCCTGAGCCTGTGCATGGGGCAGGTGGATTGTTGGAGCAGCTCAGGGCACTTCCCTGGGCTGTGGTTCAATGCCCTGGCAGTGAAATGTGCAGCAAACTCGGGCACAGGTGTGGGATGCAAGATTTTTATGCAAAGGAAGAGCTACAAGGAGTTTGAAAGGGGCCAGGGTGTTTGGGGAAAAAAAAACTCAGGTCCTGCTCTGGACCGCAGCAGCTTTTCCCCAAGCATTTGCTGCCCCACTGCCAGGCTGCTGTTTTCTCACCTTATTTAATGTTTTATTACACATCATGGAAAGGACTACAGGCACATTTGAGGGAATCTTACAGTTCTCACAGGCTTGCACAGTGTTGGAGATAAAGGAGCACCCACAGGATCTCAGTGGTTCTTGGGTGGGTCTGTCTGTCTGCTTTCAAGGCTGTTTTTGTTTTTCCTGTCAGAATTTCCTTGGGCTGGTGGATCTCTAGTGACTGTAACGCTATGCCTGTGAATATGCACTGAGTGTTACTTTTTTAATTCTACCTCATGATACGCTGTGTTTTACACCAGTATTGTGCTGAGYATTGGACACTCACCTTTCTGTATAAAGGACCGTTACCCCAAAGTGACAGATGTGTCACCCCTCCTGTGGCTGGCTGGTGGCCCTGCCAGGCTCTGGGACCCACAGCTCACCTGGCGAAGGGGTTTGGTCACCTTGAGGCTTTTGTAGCGTGTCCAGCAGATGCATAAAACGACAGAATCTGTAYATGTACGCTGTAGGAATGTTAACTTAGTTCTTCTGGTGACATCTATACGTTTGAATTAGAGTTAAGTAGGTAATCTTAGATTTTGGTTGATTGATTACTCCTTTTCAACAACACTTGGGAAGTTTTCCACGAAGGCTTTACCATGTTTTTCTCGTGGAGTTCACTGCTCAGTGGCTTATAGCTGACATGCCTCACAGTCATGTGGTGGTCCGAGGGTTTTCAGTTCCCTGAGTAACGTTAGGAAACAATGAAAATTATGTGTTGGTGAGCTTTGGGTTATTTCTAGGTAGTCAAAAAAAAAAAAAAATATCAAAAAAAAAAAA